ACGTGCAGATCGATCCAATTTGTAGATTATCCATAAACCAATCGCGAAATTCTGAATTAGTTTGAATTTCACTCATAAAAATTATAAATGTAAAGAAAAAATTCACGGATGTAGATATGATCAAAATCATTAAGCTGTTTTAAATATAATAAATTTATAAAATTTTACCTATTAATAATATAATATAAATAATAAAGCAGTTAAACAATTTATCAAACCTTGGAACAAAAAGTTCTTGAATATCATTCCCATTTTCAACAACAAATAAAATATCAAGAATAAAGTCCAATATTATTAAAACAATTTTGAATATAAATATATTATTACTCTACAAACATTAGTTTATAAAATATGATTAAAACAGTTTGAAAGCATGTATAAGATTAATTAATATTTACATCATATTTACCTCTGGGTATTTTCTTTTAGCAAAGAAATAAATAATAAGTAGCAAACAAATTGCTATAATTGCAACTAATAGCTTAACTCTAACTTCTATCCAAAGATTTGCTAAATATGATAAATAAATAAGTACGTATTTATTTTAATATAAAAAATTGAATGAATAAATTTTTGTTACCTTTAGGTTGAAATCCATAATTACTATCCAAAAATTTTGTATAATTTTTGCCATAAAGTGCACTTGTGTCTTTATTTTTAATCATATCATCCAAATCATTAATTATATCCTTTACACTTGGCTCATTTGAAGAATCCGTTGCTTTTATAACTGAAAATTCAACCAAAATATTTGAATCAGCAGAGTCAGATTGAACATTTCCTGTCATATACAATCTATTGGCATTAATAGGAAGGCTAGTTATGAGTTGTTGATATAAATCATTTTTAATTTGTTGATAAAAAGATAGATTTAAATTTAGTCGTAAAGTTGCTTCCGTGGAATCTAAACAATATTTAAATTAGTAAATATTTCATTTGTTTTTGCATAAATCAAACATAAAGGTTTATATTAATATTAATTGTCACGGATTATCGTGAAATCGGATTATCGTGAAATTTGGATCTATTTTATGTACGATTTTTAAAATT